AATTGCCTTGTGCTTCAGTCTGTCTATTAGGTCTTACACTTGTTTGAGAAACTGAGTCTCTTTTCTATCAAAGAATAGGATTTTTGCATGTTAAAAATATTTAAATTATCAGTTTGGCTAAGTAAATGTCTATAATTTTATAATGACATAGAATCTTGCTTCATGACAAGTGTCTTATGGTAAACAATTCATAACTTTCTGCTCTTTAAGCATCCACTAACATTTAAAGTTAGTAAAAATAAAAATTCTAGTCAATATATGTGATTTTATATATAAAGTATACCAAAGAATAAAATGTTTTTAGTAAGATGATAAAAGAAGCATAAAATGTGTTCTTATAAATATATATATATTTTTGTCTGATTCCATGGTTCATTAAAGGTTAAATCAAAATATAGATTTAGAACCAAAATAAAACAAAATTAAAGTAACTTGTGAACAAAACAAAAATACAAAAAAGGCAATGAATATAAAAATATATTTTTTGATAAGTGCGGTTAAACAGAAAGATTTTAGGCATGTTTTATAGCTAGTGTACAATCCGTGCAGGTTGGGATAAAGTTTATAAAGGGAATTTATTGAGTAATTTTGTATGTGGTCTAGTTAGTTACAACTAAAAAGAAATTTTGGTTAACACAAAGTGTTCTATAAACATGAATTAGCTTTTAATAAAATTATATAATGCAGTCATTTTAATTCCATAACCCGTTTCCTCTAAATTTAAAAAAAATCACAAACAGAATGTTATTGTTTATTTTTTGGCAAGTGGCCTAAAAAAACCCCACAAAAATTGTATACTGTATCAAGATAATCCATGTACTCTCTTTTACTAGGTTTTGACTAACTACAAAAACTAAATTTTAAAGGGGTTAAAGTTACACCCAGATTACTTATTTCATCACCTTTAGAATCTTTTGATGACTATCTCTCTTGGTTAAATAAATGACCTTTAGTTTATAGTGCCTTATGATTATATTTGAACAAATGTTTTAAACTTCTAATATTTTACAAACACTCCAAAACCCAAATTCTAAATCCAGCCTTTTGACCTGAAACTAACTTTTATATATTAGGGACACTGAAAGTCTAAGACAAATATGTTACCTTTATGTGGCATATTAAAACCATATGGAAAACATTGTCAAATATAAAATGGTATTTAACTTTCTTTGGGTTATATTTGTAAAGGGTATGATTAATATATATACCAGTATTATAAAATATTGATATGTCTGAGTGTATGTTATCAGTACTGATTATAGTTATTATGTTAAATAACTGTATGCCAGAAAAATAACAGCGTTGTCAATTGTCTCTTTAACCATAACTAGTCTAACACATTTATTTTACTTTAAATCATCTCAGAAAGTGTTCGATTTTATTTTCTCTAAACTAGCTAAGTCCAAAGTTTACTTCGAGGAAAATCATGGAAAGGATTGACAAGTTCTCTTAAATATAGGCTTCTAATACATTTGGAGATAATATACCATTGGACTAAAACCAAACAAGCTTCCAGGACTTCAATTAAAAAACAAATATGTCCATGAGTATCACTAATTCAACCTCATGAGACCGAACTCAATTTTTATAAAAAGACTTTATTGAAAACATTACTGATTCTCTTATTGTCCAGAGTCCTGACAAATTTTAACTAAATAACAAGTTTACCTGATATCTCCAAGACCTAAAGCTACTGAATCTGCCAACGCCCTGTTCAAACGTCCTCCCTCTGGGCCCAGAGACTATCCTGGGACAGGGGGCTTGTGAGATTATAAGGGCCGATTCCAAGGGATGGAATTAGTTTAAACCCTCCAGATCAAAGAGGGGCACACAGAAGCCTAAACAAACACTAACTGAAAAATTTGTCTTTTCAGGCCATGGGGTGCAGATATCCATCCCAATCATAAATAGGTTTTTTTTTTACTGCTTCCTATAGACTTAACTTCCTGAGTATAATTGTTCTCAGTTCTGGGGTTATGCAAAAGGAAATATAACAATTTATCAACCACCTTAGCACTAAAGCGACTAAAATAATGTAACACAGACAAAAATCTCTAAATTTCCTTAGCTTAAATGGTTAACAATGCTTATGTTTGCTACAAATCTACAACTAAACTCTGAAAAGATGTGGTAGTTCAGTACTTGCAGATAAATTAATTTTATAGCCTTGCCTTTGACATTTTGGTTTTTACTCTAATATTATCTAAAATGTTTTAAAGGATTAATGAGTGCCTGTCTATCTCCAGTCCTGTCTGGCCTAAAACATTAATTGGCTATAAGCGCTTTTGGCTATTCAGTCCTCCAGGCCACAAGTCCACTTGGAGCAGATGGCCACAGCACCCCAGCAACCAATGGGACAAAATAAGAGCTTGGCCATAGATGCTGCCTCTGGCAGACTTGTGAACTGAAATAAATGTTAAGGCTACCCCTCACTGACTGACTGAATGGACCGCCTCTTGGCCACAGGGACATCCTAATACTAAATTGCCTGCCACAGGGAAGGAGGTCAGACATGCCTCATCATGCTTCCCTCCCTTCTTGGAGACAGCCTTTGCAATTCATTAATAGGCCTGGGGCTATGAAAGACAAACCTGGAGGTCCTCAATATATACAACAAATAGATGTCAGGTGGCTTGCCTCTGGTTAACAGACCTCCTTATCTTAAAACATTTCAAGCCTTTAGACAAAGCTTCATGTCTTTAACCAATTGCAAGTCAAAGAATCTTTAATCTTACTCACCTGTAACCTTTAACTAATCCCCCCCTTCCCCCGTGCTTTGAGTTGGCCCACCTTGCTGGGAAAAACCAATGTATGTCTTCCATGTACTGATTTATGACTTCACCTGTAATCCCTGATAATGGGAAAGAAGCCAAACTCTGTAAAATAATTTAAAAGAGATCATTCTCAGCCAAATTTGAGGACCATGATCTAGAGCCGTGCCCAAGGAACCTTAAGCAAGTGGACTTGATGTGGTTGGGTTACAGTTTAGTTTTATACAATTCCAGGGGAAAGGGGTTACAGGTAAAGTCATAAATCAATATGTGGAAGGCATACATTTGTTTAGGCCCCCAAAGGTGGGCCATTTCAAAGGGGGGGGGGCTTGCAAGTGATAGGTGGGTTTAAAGACTCTTTGACTTGTTAAAGGCTCTGAAGCTTTTGTCTAAAGGCTTGGAATGTTAAGCCAGCCTATAAATTCAGAGACAAGCTACTGGACATATATTTGTTGTGTTAACTGTGGTCTTCCATGCTTGTTTTGCAAAGCCTTAGCCCTGTTAATGCGTTGCCAAGGCTGTCTCCAAGAAGGGAGGGGGCATGATGAGGCATATCTGACCTCCACCCTTGTGGCAGGCGATTTGGTTTCAGGATATCCCATTGGCCAAGAGGGAATCCATTCAGTCAGCCTATGGGTAGGGGGCCTTAAGATTTTATGTTAGTTCATACTCCTGTCTCCCTGAAATGTATAAAACCAAAGTGTAACACAACCACAGCGAGTCCACTTGTTCAAGGGTTCTTGGATGTGGTTCCTGGGTTCTACTCCTCAAACTGGACTCAAAATAAAGCACTTTAAATTATTTTACAGATTTTGCCTTCTTTTCTGTTAACCAGAAAAGACAAAAAAGGGTATATATTAACCATCTTCAAATATTTGAAGGGCCGTCTTGAAAGTGAAAAGAATTACTGTGTACATTCCCAGGAGGGAGGCCTAGAGATAGTGGATAGAACAGGGAGTCAGAAAAAAGAATTTTCTAATGTTTAGAGCTTTCCATGAAGGCAGACACAGCCTTAATAGGTAGTGGGTTAAGGCTAGACGATCATCACCTGTTGAGTACATTTGTAGAGAATTCATTTATCGAACAACAGATTGGGTAAAATACCTTTACTTTAAGGTTATACTATAACACGGAGATGTTTTTAATCTAAGACCATCCTATTTCCTTGTGCTAAGAAGTCTGACCCCAATACATGTCAAGCAGAGGGAAACTACGAGATGAACAAATTCAACAAAGGCAATACCAAAGCATAAACAGAAAGTGACACTGAACTCTAGAGGAGAAAGGAATGGCAAACTAACAGGAAAACAGAAAGCAACATAGCAGGAAAGAAACTTTAGAAACAATGAAGCATGAAGAATAAACTGGGGATGAGGGAAAAAGAAAAGAAACAACCTGACATAGACAACAGTGGGCATAGAGGATGCCTTTACACTTCTGAAATGTTTTACTCATTTCTAAAACTTTTCTCCTCTGTTAGTGGGAAAGATAGACCAGAAGAATCTGGGTCATTTAGCAATAAGGGAACAAGGTTCAAGTGGTACAATTAGTGAAGTGGTGCGGTGATCACTGAATTTCTGGCCTTAAAAGATACAGGAACTGTGTGCCTATGGGACCAAGTGCACTTTGCTAGATGTCTCCAATGTCACTACATACAGAGTGATTACTAAAGGATTACTAAAGGATCCAAGAGAAACTGCAAAGTAAACCCTTGCTTCCTAAAAAAACCAATGTGAGAAAGAAAACAGAAGCCACTTAGAAAATGACATGTGTCATTTTCCTGTGACAACGCCATCCTTTGAAACAAAGCCATCAGGAGGAGGAGAAAGAAAAGATTATAAAGTTGTCTCATACACATTTCATCTTAATTTTATCACCCTTTGTAAGCAATTTCCAAGGCTTCCTAGTACCCACTGACATTAGTTATTCAACCTACTAAACAAATCATCTCATTGTTGCCCCAGCAGAAGGAAGAGTTAAGACTCTTTAGATGTTGATAAGAGAAAGAAAAAGGAGTCACCCTGGGAGAGGAAAGTGCTGTGAGAAAAAACCTGGAGCCTAATGGTGAGCAGTAGTGAGACTTTGTCATTTACCTTAACCCTTCCAAAGATTCATCAAACCAGAAGATGGAAATTCATGTAATTAACAAATCCAACTTTAACAATCAAAAATCCCAGAATTTTTTCTTTACAAAAAATGAACATATATAAATGGCATCTTATTCCTCACCCAGTTAGGTCTGCCTCTTGGCCATTGCTCTCCAGTGGCTTCTGCTTTCTGCAACATGAAAAAGGCAGTCATTAGGGTTTCTAACCTGACATTACTACAGGACACGTTTAAAGTAAGAAGATTCTGGCTTGCAGGTGAGGTATCTAGATTATTTTTACAACCTCTTTCTCCTCTAAGGCTCATGTTCTGCATTTTCAAGTAGATTCTTCTTCCTTATTTTTTTTTCACTGCTTGATGTAAAGAGCTCTCTATGCAACCCCTGGCCCTAAAAGGCTACCCTGGAGAGATCTCATCTGAAGAATTCCATGAAAATGTTTTTTAAAAAGCTATTTTGCATTTATTTCTGCCCATAAAAGAATTATCACCACCTTTCATAATTACATGAATTAGCATTTTAGGAAATTATATCTTTCAAATGATCAAGAGTTTCTTTCCATTTCACAACTCAAGGTACAAAAATTAATGTTGATATATTGCTTTTCACTTTACAAAGCACCTGTAACCTATATTGGCAGCCAAAAGCAAACCTAAATGTAAAAAGTAACACATAAGCAATCTACTTGTAATTCAAAATAAAAAATGTTTGCACTTTTACTTGGTCAATTTCCTGTTTCTTGCCAAAAGCAATCACCTGTCAATCAGTTCACCTAAAGCAGAGGAAGAAAAGGCTGGCAGAAATCATTAGTGCTCCTTCAAGACATGGAAACTGTGAGTGCCTACAACAGTATAGTTAATTTAAAATATACATTATTCACTGTAATTCCACACTCAACAAGACCTGACATGAATATTTTCCAATTATGTGGAGAATTTGTTTCATGGCTTTATTTCACAGAATTTTTTGGTAGCACAGTTGTTTTTCCCTTTTGAATCAAAGTTCAACATTATCAAGTATTAATAATTAGCTATTCCTATTTTGTCACACCTACTCCAATCCCTCAACACAAGGAAAACACATCACTCCCCACCCCCACCCCACCCATATTTACCTTCTAGGAAAGCATGTGTTTATACTTTCAGGATAAAGAAAACGTAATACATATTGTTCTGTGTACGCGAATCTTCCCAAGGCTACATCAACACAAAGTAACCTGAGCCAAAATAACTTGCTTTGCCTTTTACTTTTGTTATCTGGGGTAGCAGCCAGTGGGCACTTGGTACAGGGACACTAAAATAACATGTTTTAAGTGTCTGCACTGCCAAATGAAACTTTCCTCTTTCTCTTTTCCATCTGCTCAGTAAAAAATAGATGAATATAGATGACAGTTATGGACAGACAGGGAGGTAATAGGTGCAAGAAAATAAGCCACAAGCTTTCTCACCAAATAATATCTTCGGCATTACTGTGTCACAGGTTCCGTGGATTAACCCAGA